CCTGCAATAATGAACACCTAGGTAAATCGCCAAACAATTTAGATTCTCTAAATCAACAAACTTCGTAACCGCAACCGCAAGTACAATAGCCAGGGCAGACGACGCTAAACAAAAGAAGCTCGACTAGCCGCAGGCAACAACAAGCCAGCTGTGACGTAAAGTAGCGTTGGCGTAGGTGTGTTGTCTGCTAGCCTATTGACAGTACTTGTTTATCTTGCTTAAATCATCATCTTTATTATCACTGGGATGATTTCGCATTCAAATTTGTTTGTTCTCTTATGAATGTTGGTCGGCTGGGCTACTTTTCCGTCCAATCTTAGCAACTCAACTCTGCACAATACAACGTTGTGGTCAAGATAGGCTTTAAACATAACCTAGTCTTGTTGCCCCGTTGATAAAGCTGGAATACTTCATAACTTTGTCAACGTCTCTTCTCAAAGGTAAAGTGCACTTCATCGCTACTCTCCTAAATAGTGAAATTATGATTTTAAGATACTTGTGTGACCCTAACCTTTTTTCAGGTTAAGTCTGACATGACATCTAAGGGTGAAGTACTGAAACAAGAGTGCTGCTGCAAGATTATATGGACCCCCTGTATGCCAGTATTCTGCTTTTATTCACACAGGTAAAAAGAAAAGTTTGTTCATACTGTTATTTATGAGTGTTAGCAACACACAGCTATCCATGTTACTTCTGTTCTAGGCCTCCTCGCGTTGGCTGAAAGATGTGAACTTCGGTTGGAATTGTTAGATTGGTTTACTCCTACTGCAGCCACTGCTTGCCTTCAAACCAAAGGTGTGAGGCTCAGATTAATTATTTCCTATTAGACTTTTATGTTCACGATCTTTATACCACCTTTTAATTGTTTTAAGTGGCGGCTCCAGACGTGGACTCCAGAGTTGGGAAGTCTCGACCTCGTAACTGTTTACACTTCTGCCGTCTGAGGATTAATTTTGTGAGGGTAAGTTTCATTATTTAAAAGTAATAATATTAATGGATAAAATTCAATCTCTTTATTTCATTTACATTACAAATACAAGCCAGTGGATCATTGGTCAATGGTTCAATTTTGTTGTGTTTCTTCACCAAGCTCTTAAACATTAGAAGAATGACATAGGACTTAATTTGCTAGTTTTAAAAGAAACATGTGAAGGTGAGGATAGTCATTAAATTTGTGTTTCTTTTCCCCACAGGGTTTCATTGATGAAGAATCGCAAGACACTTACAAGAGACCATGACCGCTTGGACCGCTGCAAGGAAATTACTTGTAGTTTCTTGTCGTCTGATGTGAGATTAGTGTTACGGATCTGAGGATGCATGTTGGTCAGACTTGCCAAAGCCCAACAGTTAAATGATGGTTACTTGAAAGACATTTCACATTTTTGTTTTTACTAATTTTACTACTTTTAAAAAGATGAAATTAAAACAAAAATTCTAAATTTTTCTCATCTATTTACAACTTTTGCCCTTCAACATTG